CGACCCCGCGCTGCAGCCGGGAAACTTTCCCACGGACGAGGCCGGGGCGCAGCAATTCGCGCAGAGCTTCAACTCCAGCGCCGAGCAGGTGCGGTTCCTGAACACGGTCGCCAGCTGGGCGCACGACACCAACATCACCGCCGAGAATGCGCAGCGCCAGGTGGGCGCCCGGGCCCGGGGCGCGGGGGCGGGGCCGGGACGGCCAATCACAGGCCTGCGGCGGGGCGCGCGGGGGAGGGGGCGGAGCGGGGGGAGAGTCCCCAACGCCGGGGACGCGACCCCGACTCCTGAGCGTGGGGGGCTCCCCCTGACGCTGAGCCCCGCAGGCCTGCTCCACCTGCACCCACAGCCACTCCCGCGCGAGCAGACCCCCGGTGGGTGTCCATACGGTGCTGGGCACAGAGTGCTTGCCCAGTGCATCAGTTGAATGGAGGTCAGCTTCGCCGAGAGTGAGTCCCCCAGATGACAGATCCCAGGGCTGACCTGGGGCTGGGTCAGCAGCGTGCCCCGTGGCTTTGCCCGCTCCCCGCGGTGCGTCGTTCTGGCTTCTGCTCTTCACTGTTTCCTCCTCCACAAGCTCTGCCTCTCCTGGCCCCAATTTCTCTTCATTGTCTCCTGAGACAGATCCCCCAGGTCTTGACCTGGAGTGCCCCTGCTCCCCAAACCCCAAAAGCCCCCATCTCCAGCACAGGGGCCTCCACGGGGCCAAGGTCTGGCCGCCCTTGGCCTTCCTCCCTTCCCCCAATCCAGGTGGTCTCTCCTGCACGGCCTCTCCATAAGCCCCTTGTGCCTTCCTGATGCCCACAGGAGGAGACCGCCCTGATGAGCCAGGACTTCGATGAGGCCTGGGGCCACAAGGCCAAGGAGCTGTATGACAACATCTGGCAGAACTTCACTGACCCTGAGCTTCGCAGGGTCATCAGCTCCATCCGCATCCTGGGTCCTGCCAATCTGGGCGTGGCCAAGCGGCAACAGGTGGGCCCCCTGGGCCTGAGGTGTAGGGAGATTGCTTCACCTGCTTCTCCAGCTGGGGTGTGGGGCAGCCTGGGAGGGAGTGGAAACCCTAAATGTGGAAAGAATTCCTGAACGTGATTTTCCTTGGAGATGGAGTGAGGAGTTACATGACAGCAAATATCATGGAGTCGAAAGAAAGCTTCAAGTGAAAGCTGAAAGAGTGGGCTTCACAGTTTGTCCAGAGGCCAGCAGGGTGTATGGGCTTCCTGGGAGAGAAATGAGAGGAATGTGCCCTCACTGCAAGGTGGCAACCAAGATGGTGTCCTAGCCCCCTGCCTGCTCCAGGTCTCCTTTTCCTTGTAGCAAAAAAGGAGGGGGTGGCCAGAGATCCTGGGGGACTGCTCATCACTAACGTTTTCCAACTCTGACTCACCAGTACAACTCTCTGCTAAGCAACATGAGCAGGATTTACTCCACAGCCAAGGTCTGCTTCCCCAACAAGACTGCCACCTGCTGGTCACTGGACCCAGGTACGGCCCTGTTTCTCTGTCTCTCTCTACTGGGGTTTCCCAGCCCTACTGCACACACTGTGGCACCTGGGAGGACAGCATGTTTGTTGGCAGGCATGTGGAGATAGTGGGGGACTGGGCTGTGCAAATGTCCCACACCCCCTCTTCCCCTGGTGAACTGACTTCAGGAACCTGAGAGTCCCCTGCCCCATGTGTGCCTGGGCCTTCCCATCAATAGTCCTTCAGTCCTTCCTCCTGGTTGTCCAGTTTTCCCTTTCTCCCCAGGAGTCTTCCACAGGTCTTGGACCCCTCATGGGTTCGCTCATACCCTCCTGCTCCCTCCCCCCCACAACTCCATTTATTAGGTAGTGTTGAGGTCAGCCACTCCATCCAATGAGCCATGAAGGGTCTGGGTTTGGGCCCTGAGGATCCTCGTCCTGTGTCAACCACCACAGACCATCATCTCCCTGGGGCAGGGATCCTGCCTGGGTACTTGCTTTGTATAGCTCCCAGCCTGCCCTGCCTAGCTTGTAGGTTACCCTTGGCTTTGGGGGTATCATGATATTGAGGATGCTGGTGGAAAGGGTAAGGACCAGTGTGGTGCCCCAGTGAGAGCAGAGAAGGTGTTGCAGACTTTCACATGGAAGTCTTGTAACTAGCCCTGCCTGACTGTCTCAGACCTCACCCATATCCTGGCCTCCTCACGGAGCTATGCCATGCTGCTGTTTGCCTGGGAGGGCTGGCATGACGCTGTGGGCATCCCGCTGAAACCTCTGTACCAGCAGGTCACAGCTCTCAGCAACGAAGCCTACAAGCAGGATGGTGAGTATGCCTCTCCTGGTCCAGGGGCAGCATCCCTTATAGGTGTGCAGCACTTCCCAGCTAGCAAGATGCCCTCCTACTCTGTCTCTGCTGAGCCACAATGCCCAGAGCAGCTGTTAGGCTGAGTCCCACACACTGGCCACACAGGTTAGGGAGCTTCCCAAGGTGAATGGTGGAAATGGACTTGAACCCAGTCTGCTTGCTACATGCTGCTGCTCTGCCCTTATACCCCTCTCCTGCCGGGCACACCTGGCTCTGGTCCCCAGGCCCAGGATTCAACTTCCCCTCTGGTGCTGTCCAGGATCTAGTTAGCTGGAGCTTAGAGCAGCTCCTAGTTACAGAAAACTGTAGAGTGATGAACACCCAAGCCATCCATGCCAGCTAGCTGACAGACACACAGCCCTGGAGCCAGAGAATGGCAAAGGAGGGGTGGCAAGGTGAAGGTGCCAGAGCCTAGGTCCTGAGCTACCCCGCTTCCTCTCCTTGCTAGGTTTCTCGGACACAGGGGTCTACTGGCGCTCCTGGTATGAATCAGCCACCTTTGTGGAGGATCTGGAACGCCTCTACCATCAGTTAGAGCCCCTCTACTTGAACCTCCATGCCTACGTCCGCCGCGCACTGCACCGCCGATACGGGGACAAGTTCATCAACCTCAGGGGACCCATCCCTGCTCACCTGCTGGGTAAGGGCCAGGCCTTGCCTCCAGGCATGTCCCAGGGAAACTTGGGCCCAGGGCAGGGAAGGTGGATCGCCATCATCATCATCATTGCTCACACTGGGCTGGTCACTTCCCCAACACCACTATGAAGCAGGTTATCCCTTTCATTGCTTTTATTGATCCAACTTTAGAGACGGGGACCCTGAGGCTTAGGGTATAAAAGTGACTTGGCAGAGGTCAGAGAGCAAGGAAAAGGCAGAGCTGGAATTTAAATGAAGCTTCTGACTCCAGGTCCAGAGGAGGAGGACTAATAAGTCCTAGTTGATGCTCATGGCATCAAGCTGGTGGCCCTCAGGGCTGGGAGGCAGGGACCACACTCAGAAAGAACCCCAGCGACAACACCTAGGCTCTCTTGTGGATTCACCAGGTCCAAGGAGCTTGGAGCATCAAGGGGAATGAGGTCTGACTCATGTGTGAGACTCCTGTCCCTGAGCCAGCCAAGTGGCTCAGGTTGGCAACCCCAGGGTCTAGGTGATGGGGCCTGGGTATTGCTTGGTGGCAATCATGGGGCAGCAGGGGCCAAGCTGACTGGTTTCCCTTGTCCATCTAGGAAACATGTGGGCCCAGAGCTGGGAAAACATCTATGACATGGTGGTACCTTTCCCAGACAAGCCCAACCTGGATGTTACCAATGCTATGGTGCAGAAGGTAAGTTCTAGAGTTGGGCCTGGGGTGGGGACAAGAGACAATCAAGACAAGAAGAGGGACAGGACAGGGTCACATGACCGCAATGGGGTCACATAAGGGCCTTGGGCCCTCTCTTCCTATAGAGCAGCAGCCTGGGCTGTGTGTTCAAGCAGCCTTGGGGAGGAGAGCTGGGGTCTCTCACCAGTGAGGTGGCAGTCCTTTCTCCGGGCCCCCAGGGTGGAATCCCAGACCTGTGGGCAGCCAGAGTGGGCTCCTGGCAGCTGGCCCCTGACCTGTGCCCACCTCCCCACCAGGGCTGGAACGCTACCCACATGTTTCGGGTGGCAGAGGAGTTCTTCACGTCCCTAGGGCTCCTGCCCATGCCACCCGAGTTCTGGGCAGAGTCAATGCTGGAGAAACCAGACGATGGGCGCGAGGTGGTGTGCCATGCCTCTGCCTGGGACTTCTACAACAGAAGGGACTTCAGGTCTGGACGTGAGAGACAGAGGGGCTGGGGAAAGGCAGGGCAGCCTGGGCAAGGAGAGGCTGGCTTCCAGGCCCGTCTCCTCCCAGCCCCTGGCTAGGGTGCTGGGGCTATTCCAGGGCTGTCAACATATGAGACCTTTTAGGCCGCCTTTCCCAGCACCTTGGCAGGTAGTCAGGTCTGTGCCTCAGAACGCAGGGTGAAGGCCTGCATGGTAGTGGTGAGTGGGGCAGGGTAGACCTTTATGCTTCTAGCAGCTCCTCTGAGCCCCTTGGTCCTGCCTCTCAGGCTCCTCCCAAGCTTCTGGTCCTGTCCTTCCCCCTCATTTTTCACTCTTCCTGGTCAGGATCAAGCAGTGCACGAGGGTCACAATGGACCAGCTGTCCACAGTGCACCACGAGATGGGCCATGTGCAGTACTACCTGCAGTACAAGGACCAGCCTGTGTCCCTGCGCCAAGGCGCCAACCCTGGCTTCCACGAGGCCATCGGGGATGTGCTGGCGCTCTCAGTCTCCACCCCTGCACATCTGCACAAAATCGGCCTGCTGGACCAAGTCACCAACGACATGGGTATGGGAGGGGCGGGTCAGCCTGGGCCCACCAAACCCCGTGGACCCCACAGTAGGGCCCATGCGCTCCCACTCACATCTGCCCCAGCTCAGACAGGGTGGGAATCCAACGTGGCACCTCCCAGCTCACCCTGAGTCACAGCTCAGTGCTCTCCAATGGTCTCCCGAGTGTCTGCCCAGGCTCACCTCCTGTGGGCTCCTCCTCAGCCCACCTTCTCCCAGCTGGACTCCTCCTCCCTTTGACCTCTCTCCCCTCACATCCCAACAGAAAGCGACATCAACTACCTGCTGAAGATGGCACTGGAAAAAATTGCCTTCCTGCCCTTTGGCTACTTGGTGGACCAGTGGCGCTGGGGTGTCTTTAGTGGGCGCACCCCGCCTTCCCACTACAACTTTGACTGGTGGTATCTCCGGTGAGCAGAGAGAGACCAGAAAGGCCCTCCTGGCCATCCCTATCCTCCTGGCAACCGGGAGCCACCTACCCCAGTTAGCTCTAGGCCCCTTTCTCTAATGATGTAGTCCTTCTCCTTCTACCCCCGTGGTCTTTCCTGCTTAAAAAAATCCTCCTCTAGGAAGTCTTCCCCAATTGACCAGGGTGGGGAGAGAAGGGCGGGGTGGGAATACCCACCTAGTAGCCTATTCCGGAAAAGCTCAATCTACCAGCCTGTATGTAACCTCTCTGTCTCTTCTAGAACCAAGTATCAGGGGATCTGCCCTCCAGTTGTCCGAAACGAAACCCACTTTGATGCCGGAGCTAAATTTCATGTACCCAACATGACACCATACATCAGGTACTATATTGCCTCTCCCCCACCCCTGTCACACCTCCAGTCTCCTGCCCCTGTGGTCCTGGCAGCCCCATCCCATGGCTTATCCCCATGCTCTTCTTGATCTCCCCACAAGGGCACCCCTGTCTCCTCTGTCCTGAGCCAGGCTTGGTTCTCCCTTCTTTCCCAGAAGAGCCTGTGCTCCTGCCTGAGGAAAGCTGCATGGTGCCTGAGTAGGGACCCCAGTTCCTGGCCCTGCACCCTCTAATGCCCGTCCTGTGCCTGCAGGTACTTTGTGAGTTTTGTCCTGCAGTTCCAGTTCCATCAAGCCCTGTGCAAGGAGGCAGCCCACCAGGGCCCATTGCATCGGTGTGACATTTACCAGTCCACCCAGGCCGGGGACAAGCTCCGGTGTGTAGTGGGAAGGGGGCAGATGGGCAGGGGAGGGGAGAGGTGGGGGAGGTGGACAGGGCATGGGTCTATCCTGGGTTAGGGTATCACAGGGCTGGGCTGATACAGGGCTCCCTCCCTCCCTCCCCTCTTCCTTCCTTCCTTCCTCTCATCAAGTGTTTATTGAGTGGGCCTTCTGGCTGGCATAGGGAAAGATAAACATCCCCTGCCACCCTCCCAGAGCTCCTGGGCCCCATACAGTGTTGCTGCCACAGTAACAGCAGGGGTGGAAGGAAGGGGACAGCGGCCAGAGGTGGGGCAGGGGGGCTGGGCCTAGTAGCCACCTTCAGCCTGAGCACCCTGTGTCTACGATGCCTGCTTTGCCCCCAGAGAGCTGCTTCGGGCAGGCTCCTCAAGGCCCTGGCAGGAGCTGCTGAAGGACATGATTGGCTCAGAGGCCCTGGACGCCCAGCCACTGCTCGACTACTTCCAGCCAGTCAGCCAGTGGCTGCAGGAGCAGAACCAGCGCAACGGCGAGGTCTTGGGCTGGCCAGAATACCAGTGGCGCCCGCCGGTGCCCAACAATTACCCAGAGGGCATTGGTAAAGCACGGGGTGAGGCGGGGCGGGCGCTGAAGCCAGCCTCCAGGGTCCTAGTCAGCTCCTGTCAGCCAGGCCTTGCATCCTGCCCTGGGGCCAGGCAGCTGCCTGGGTGGTCAGCAGGGCCTCAGGGTGGGCTTGGACATATCTCTCCCCAGCATTGTCAAGGGGATGTGCCAGATCTGAGGGCCTCTGAGGGCAGGCTGGGGGGGACATGGCTCTATGAGGTCACACTGCAGGTTCCACTCTTATTGGCCAGGGGCTGGTGGCTGCAGGGCTCTGCTCTCCTGCGGCCATGGGCCAAAGTTGGGCTCCTCTGGGACTGCCCAGCCTCCTCCTCCTGCTGCTCTGCTGCGGGCACCCCCTGCTGGTCCTGGGCCAGCTGACAACCAGCCAGATAACAGCCAGCCAGGCCACAGCCAGCCAGGCCACAACCAGCCAGGCCACAGCCAGCCAGGCCACAGCCAGCCAGGCCATAGCCAGCCAGGCCATAGCCAGCCAGGCCACAGCCAGCCAGGCCATAGCCAGTCAGGCCACAACCAGCCCAACTACCCAGAGCCCAAGTGGGACCATCAGGCTGGGGGAGAGGCTAGGGCTGGGAGGGACAACTGGGAGAGGCCAGGGGTGGCAGGAAGGCTCCTAGGAGGAGGTGGAAGGCAGAGAGGGGAAGGAGTGGCTTGTCTGATTTTCTCTACTTTGTCTCATAGATCTGGTGACAGATGAGGCTGAGGCCCAGAAGTTTGTGGAGGAATATGACAAGACAGCCCAGGTTGTGTGGAATGAATATGCTGAAGCCAACTGGAACTACAACACCAACATCACCAAAGAGGCCAGCAAGATTCTGGTGGGGGCCATCTCCACACCTACACAGACACAGACATGCACTCACACACACGTACAGCCACACACTCACATTCCGGGGCACCTTGGCTACACCCCCCAGGGACTGCACTTCCAAAACAGAAGACAACCTGGCCCATCTTGTCCCTCCCTGGTATCAAGAGAAATCAAGGCTGATGGCCATGGGGGATGGGGGGATTAACTGTCAGAATTTGTGAAAAATCCAAATATAATGTTTAAAACAGTACTCGAGTTCACATTTGCATGGGCATGTACTCAACACCTGAACAGTCATTCTCTCACTACTAACCTCTTGTTAGTAACTGAACAATTCGTACATAAATAAGTGATGGTGAAGTCATTTAAAAAAAAATGCTGAAAGACTGTCTCACCAGAGCAAGGCCCACATTGCCCCTCCACCCCCGTTCCCCACCTGTTGGGTTGAGCACAGGTGAAACCACAGTGAGCTGCAGCCAACCACAGAGAAGTACAATTTCTTGAAGACCTACTGTGTGCTGGGCATTGTTCCTTAAGGCTGATAGTTGTTGCCTCGTTTACTCCTCAACAGCCTTGCAAAATGGATGCCTTTATTCCCATTTTACAGATAGAACCCCAAGCCCAGAGACTGAGGGCACAGAGCTAATGCCAAGCTGCCTCGTCCCACACAGCCTTTAAGACACATGGTGGGCTTCCCCTTCTCCAGCCTGCCAAGAGATTTCTCCTTCAGCTGCCGGCAGCTGTCAAGGGCACTTACTGCCTTGGGGCTTTATCACACGGTTCAGGCTGAAGAGAGTGTTTTAGGCAAAGGCAGCCGTTTGTCAACTGCCCTCCCTCACCCCCACCCCCTGCCCCCTCGGCTCCCCCAGGTCCAGGGCACCACCTGCTCAGAGGCCTCTCCAGAGCTCCCAGTCCTCATGACCCCATCCTCCTGTGTCCTCAGCTTCAAAAGAACATGCAGTTGGCAAACCACACCCTGAAGTATGGCACCCGGGCCAAGCAGTTTGATGTGACCAATTTCCAGAACGACACCACCAAGCGGATCATCAAGAAGGTTCAGGACTTGGAGCGGGCGGCACTGCCTGTCAAGGAGCTGGAGCAGGTGTGTGGTTTGGGCCGAGTGGGGAGTGGAGGACCCCAGGTCACAGTCAGAGCCCAGCTTTGGAGAGTGAGCCCAGCCCAGGGCCTGGCCTTCACGCTGCTTCCTCTTCCTCGATGAAGGAAGAAATGTTGCCAAGCCTCCAGAATTACTGCTGCAAAGGCAGCACTTTTGGGCAACGCAGCCCCTCAACGCCCGCCCTCCGCTCTTCTGGTTGGGAGGTGGGAGGAGGCTGGGGCAGGGCAGGCGGCAGAAGGGCCAGGAGCCAGGGCTGCAGCTCACGGCCTCTCTTCTTCTCTGCAGTACAACCAGATCCTGCTGGACATGGAGACCACCTACAGCGTGGCCTCCGTGTGCCAGCTCAATGGCACTTGTCTGCAGCTAGAGCCTGGTGAGCACACCTGGGAAGGAGAGCGTCTGGGGGGCTGGGGTACATAGCCTCGCGGGTGCTGACAGCTGAGGTCCTCCCAGCCCACGGTCACTCACCCTCCCCATCCGCACCAGTGGCTGCTCCGTATAGCTTTGCTCCAATGCACAGCCCCTCCCTCGGATCCAGCCCTGCTCCCTCTGGGCCCCTCCAGGACGCTCCCGTTCGGCTCCTCCACTGGAACCAGGTCTCTGCACACTCTGCCCCTGACAAGAGTGGGTTTCAGGGGCTTGGACTCCCACGTAGGGAGGGCCAGACAGGACTTGACTCCAGGCACCTTCCCACCCACTTTCCTTTCCATGGTTGTCTTCTCCACCTGCTCTGACTGTCTCAGACCCCCAGACAGGCCGAGTCACAGAGCAGGTAGAGGCGCAGGTGAAAACCTGGCCTCTCGACTTCTCACTCAGCCCTTGCTGTCCTCACTCCACTCCCTCCACGCCTGCTCCTGCTGGGCGCAGGCACACTGACTCTAGGTTGCCCTCTCTTCCTCCGTGCACACTGGCCAGCCCCCCAACCTTCTCCCCTTTGAAAGAGCCAACCTCACACTTAGGTGCCTGCACACAGACACACCCGCCTCTCCCTCCTGACCGCCCCCTTCCGGGTCGGGAGCTGGAGATGGAAACATTTCTCCTGGGGAAGTCTGTCCACAAGTGGTCTTCCTGGCTCCTCACCCAACTCCCACATTAGAACAATGACAGATAGGAAGGGAAGTGGAAAATAAACAAAGCGAGAGACCATTTTCCCCAGGTAAGGTTTGCATCTGTAGGTTGTGTATGTGAACAAGCACGCAAGCGTGGGGGGGGAGGTGCACGTGTACCTGCGTGCATGTGGGTGGGCATATATGTGCACTTATGGAGAAGAGCATTACAGAGAGTGTGGCATCTAGCACCCACCGGCCAGGCCCGTAATCAGGGCCGAGCCATTAAGTCACTGCCTTGTGGTAAAAGTAAGAAGCACCTACAAAATCCAGAGACTCACATCACCAGGGGACAGATACGAAAGCCTCAAAATAAATTCTTCCCAGACAAAAGAATATGATTTTACTCTCTTGGTGAAAAGTGAATAGATGCCATGGAGCATGTTCCAAAACAGATTATCATCCAGGAGGCCACACACTTAGCAGCTTCGACAGGACGCAAACCCAGAACTCCGGGCTCCCCAAGGAAACCGGGTTCTTTACACTTTCACAGTCTTCACAACTGTTCTTTTATTTAGTTCAGTTCAATTTGTAGATGCCCCAGACCTGGGAGGAGGTCTGGGGGAAGGAGATGAACAAAGCATGTCCCTGTGAGAACCAGTGGTGGTGGTGGTTTTCCTCAAGTCAGCTCTGGCTCAGTACCCCATGTGTTAGAGTAGAACCTCTCCTTTCAACAATTTCCTTGGCTCTTATCTTTACCCATGCAGATTGCCAGGGCTTTTCTTTCGTGGTACTGCTGGGTGCATTTGAACTGCTGACCTTCAGGTTAGCATTCACCGTGAACCGCACCACTGAGGGACCTTGTGAGGGCTGATATCATCCCCGTCTTACAGACAGGAAAGAGTAGCTCAGTGACGTGCCCGAGGTGATTTTGGTGGCTAGTGATAGGACTGGAAGAAGAACTCGGGTCTTTTGGCCTCCAAGCCATTTCCCCCGAGGGGCAGAAGGGTGGTAAGCAGGAACGAACAAGTGAGGGAGCAGTGGACCTGGAGTCTGGTCCTTTGGTTTGCATCCCAGCTCTGCCCGCCCCTTCTCCACTGGGGGACTCAGCCACGTCACCAGACTGCTCACGTGGAAGAGGGACTGTGTGCATCTCCCAGGCTGTTGAAACCCCGTAGCTGCCTGTGTGTGCAGCACCCAGCCCCAGACTTGGCACCGTGTGTGCACCAGGCAGATGTCACTGCAGGCTTTCTCCCGTTTCACTAGACTTGCTGCCAGTACAGACGTTTCCACATGGTCCCACCAGTTTTATTCCCGCTCTGAAATTCTACAGCTGGGTTCACCTTGTGAGGAGGTGGGAAGTGAGCAAAGGGCTGGGGACTTAAGCCATTTGATGCCCTCCCCACTCCAGATCTGACGAAGCTGATGGCCACATCCCGGAACTACGAAGAGCTGTTATGGGCATGGGAGGGCTGGCGAGACAAAGTGGGCAGAGCCATCCTCCCTTTTTTCCCCAAATACGTTGAACTCAGCAACAAGGCCGCGCAGCTCAACGGTGAGTCCCTCCTACAAATACCACCTGCTCTCTGGCCGCTGACCTCTCTGAGAAGTTCTCTGAGTCTCTAACACTGGGGAAAGCCAGCAGGTGTTCCGAGGGCCTCATTGTGTCCCCTCTGCAGGCTACAAAGACACAGGGGACTCGTGGAGAGCTATGTACGAGACACCAACTCTGGAGCATGACTTGGAGCAGCTCTTCCAGCAGCTTCAGCCGCTCTACCTGAACCTGCACGCCTACGTGCGCCGTGCCCTGCACCGCCACTACGGGCCCGAGCGCATCAACCTGGAGGGCCCTATTCCTGCACATCTGCTGGGTGAGGGCACGGGCTGGGCCTTGGGAGGTGGGTGACGGGCAGGGCAGGGTTGGCCAAGGCACAGCGAGCAGGCTGGGAAGGGGCTTCAGATGGCACTTGCAGGTGGGAGAGTGGACACTGTGCATGGAGGGAATTACCGAGGCAGGATGCATGAGATACTGTACGTGGACCATTTCGAGGTGGGTCACCACCAGGTCCTCCATTTATCATTTTCCTTATCTCCAGTCCTGGAGAACTTGGCTGTCTCTTCCTCTTACTCTAAACTCAGAGGCATTAGCCTCCCCTGAAGGAGACAAATGGTTCTTGCCAACATCACAGACAGGTGACCTCCATTAACCAACTTCAGACCATGCAGAGGAGACACAGCAGAGTGGTTGGCCAAGAGTATGGGCTCTGGAGGCAGACACTTGGCTGCCTTTAAATCCCAGTCCCATTGAAGTCCTGTTACTTAACTTTCCAAGCCTCAGTTTCATCTACTGCACAGTGGGAATCGTAACAATACCTGGTTTCAGTGAGGATTACCTGTGAATCTACATGGTATACTTGGCACAGTGCTCAATATGTTGTGGCCGCATGTGCATAGATGTTCCAGAGACCAGAGCTTCCTTGTAAACAGGTCCTAATCACATTGGCCTTCATTACTCCCAGTACAGTGAAGACCACCTTGATTCCCTGATAACCCACAAGGTCCTCATCTGTAAACCTATATAGTTATCGACCATGCAGATTTGACATGTGGACTGAAAACGATGTCTGTCTAACACCCAGCAGAGTCTGCAAACATTAGGTGCTCAAGAGATGTTTATTATGCTTATTATGATTAGCGGATGGTTCCTTCTTCCTGCACATGGTAGTAATGAGCCTAAGAAGTAACATCTGTCTCTCATTTCACCATCTTCCCTCCCCCACCCACCTCCAGGGAACATGTGGGCCCAGACCTGGTCCAACATCTATGATTTGGTGGTGCCCTTCCCTTCAGCCCCCAAGATGGATGCCACTGAAGCCATGATAAAGCAGGTCTGCACTGGGGGCCCTCTCCTCCCACTCCTATTTCTCTATGGGCAGCCCCAGGATACTGGAAAAGGGGAGGCTTCTGCCAGGGTGGGAGATTCAAGAGTCCCCTCCCCAGTAGCTTCCATCTCTGAAGTATACACTCTACCCCACGGCCCCCCAGCATTGGCAATTCTTCTCTTCTTGTAGGGCTGGACACCCAAAAGGATGTTTGAAGAAGCTGACAATTTCTTCACCTCCCTGGGGCTGCTGGCCGTGCCCCCAGAGTTCTGGAAAAAGTCAATGTTAGAGAAGCCAACGGATGGACGGGAGGTGGTGTGCCATGCTTCTGCCTGGGACTTCTACAACAGCAAGGACTTCAGGTATGTCCAGGCTGGAGCTGGGTTCTTAGGCTGAGCTCAGTGACTGAGGAGGTGAACCAAGTCCATTGCAGTTCCCTTAGCCACAATGAGCAGAGGGAGAAGAGAAGTGGGAGCCAGAGCTTGGGTCTGAGGGTTAAGAGAGTTGGACCTGGCACCAGCATGGCCACTGGTTTCTGGCAGGAGAATATCATCCACCAAATGTGAGTATCTTCAAGTGCTGACCACCTTGGACAGTTGGTCAGGGCTCAAGATCCCAGTCCTGGGCTTAAGCACTAGATGAGCTGCCCAGCGTCCCCCCACCCCTGGGGTGACCTCTGCTTGCAGCTGGCCCACTCTCTGTGTGCATGTGCCTGACACAGGGAAAACAAATAAGGACAGGGAATACTCACACAGATCCATCTTCGCCACTGACAGTTTCAGAAGTTGTCTTCATCCAAAGATAATGTTTCAGTTATCTCTTGCTACATAAAAAACCACCCCAAAACAGTGGTGTGAAACAACAACTGTTTGATCATGCTTACAATTGTACGGGTAGGAATTCAGGCAGCGTGCAGTGGAAATGGCTTGTCATTGCTCCCCAGTGACTGACACCTCAGCTGGGGTAGCTCTAATGGTTGGAGATGGCTAGGATGACTCACAGGGGCCTTCTCTGGCTATTGGTTAGGTTCCTTAGTTTTTCTCCATGTGCCATGTTCTGGGGCCAGAAAGTGCAAGCTGGCTTCTTCATTCACATGCATTCACATTCTTCATTCAGATGCCTGGGATGCGATGGCCGGAACAGCTGGGGTTGGTTGGGAATTTCTTTCTCCAGGCAACCTGTCCATGTGTCTAAACTGTGCTTCATCATAATATGGCAGTCGGATTTCTTATGTGGCAGCTGGCATCTCCCAGAGCAAAAGCAGAAGCAGCTAGACCTCTTAAAGGCTAAGAATATTATTGACTAAGGCAAGTCATAAGGCCAGCCTAGACTTAAGAGAAGGGAAAAAGACCCTACCTGTTGGGAGAAGTGTTGAAGATGGTGACCACAGTGGATGAAATATCTCTTAGGAGAAGAGTGGACACAGAGAACCAGTCCCCAAAGGCATGAGGACTGTAGCTGTCGGGCTGGGAATGGTTAGACTCAAGGAAGAGGGGAAAGCTCTTTGGGGATCCTCCCTTAAATGCGGAGTCAGAGGCGAAAGTTGACAGACCCCAGCCTCATTATGACCGGCTTTCTCTGGGCAGCTCTTTGTCCCTTCTCTAATGAGAATAACAGAAAAATGGGGTGGGCCCAAACAGAGTAGATCCAAGAATTTCCTGCCATTGAAACTGGCTCACAAAACAAGAGGGAGGTAGAAGCTTCTGGCTTTGAAGCTCTCAGATGTCTCTTCAGTCCTGGCCATAAAAACTCAGAGTGAATGTCCTTGCTGGTGTCAAGCTGAATGAGAGACAGAAGAGCTCGAACACTATCATTTCCTCAGGAAGCTTAAGTCTCAGGAGAGGAAAACGTGTACATGGGAAACCACAGAGCACATTCTAGAAAGCACTGTGCTGAACATAACTGAGTGTCCCAGTGCCCCTAGAACAAGTACTTTACACAGTTTGAAAGCAACATGGCAGTGTAGGCTGGAGTTACTCACAAAAGATGGAGACAGAGGAATGGCCTGAATGACCTCTTCAGAGGCTTCTAACCTCCAGACTCCCTCTGTATCAGGCTTACTCCATATCTCCATCTCATTCTCCTTCCCATAGTGCTAGGTTCCCAGCACTCAGCAGTGACGGGATCTGCTCTGTATTCAGGAAGGTCATCTGGGCTCCTCACTGTCCCTCTTCTAACATATGTCCCTCCTACTTTGTGTTTCCAGGATCAAGCAGTGCACCACTGTGAACATGGAGGACCTGGTGGTGACCCATCACGAAATGGGCCATGTACAGTATTTCATGCAGTACAAGGACTTACCTGTGGCCTTACGGGAGGGTGCCAACCCTGGCTTTCACGAGGCCATTGGGGATGTGCTGGCCCTCTCGGTGTCTACCCCTCAGCACCTACACAGCATCAACCTGCTGAGTAGTGAGGGTGGTGGCTACGGTGAGAGAGGAAGGGGAGATTCTGGGTGGATTCAGGGTCCAGGAAGGATTGGCCGAGACGGGGAGGTGGGAAGAGGGTATTTAGTGGCCCGGGGGCAGAGATTTGAAGCAAGGCAGTAGGGAATAAGTGGGCCACTAGCATAGTGGATCTGGGAGGATGGAATACTCAGACCATCCAAGAGGCAAATGGCAGGACCCAAAGGGGTCCAGCCTCTCCCCTCCACCCATCACACATGCACAGAGCTGACAGGACCCGGCAGGAAGTGGAAGCTGATCTCATGGCTGGGCCCCCTTCTTTTGGCAGAGCACGACATCAACTTTCTAATGAAGATGGCTCTGGACAAGGTCACCTTTATCCCCTTCAGTTACCTTGTCGACGAGTGGCGCTGGAGGGTATTTGACGGAAGCATAAGCAATGAGAACTACAACCAGGAGTGGTGGAGCCTCAGGTTCGAGGATGCTCCTGGGCAGGGTGTTGGGGAAGATCTTGGAGGTGGTTTTCCGTGGCTGTTTGTTTGCCTGTGGGGTTGTGGAGTCACATGCCTGTGTGTGTCCATGTTTGTATGTGTGTATATGTGTATGTGTGAATGTGTAGATGCCTGTGCGTCTGCGTGTATGTGGTAATTGTATCTGATGAGTTGTGTGTATATGACGTCCGTGTGTATGTTTGTGTGCATGCATGTGGGTCAGTGGGTGTCAAACATGAGAAGTCCCTCCAGCATGGTCCTCCCCAACTTCTTCCTCCAATGGATCTTCCCCCTCAACAGGCTGAAGTACCAAGGCCTCTGTCCCCCAGTGCCCAGGTCTCAAGGTGACTTTGACCCAGGGGCCAAGTTCCACATTCCTTCAAGTGTGCCTTACATCAGGTAATGGGGAAGGGAGGAGGGTGCACCCTGGGGGGAGGTGGCAGTGCCTATAGCTTATCATTTAAACGCTATAGCTGCTCGTCAGATGGCCCTAGGGGAACCTGGCTACAGGATGCAGTGGCCTAGTTCCATTCATTTGCTACCAAGGTGGACAGTTGTTTCTTTAAACGTTCTTTTGATAATGAGAGTTTCTAACATCCAAACAAAAACTCAGTCTATAAAAACTTGCTGATGGTTACAAAGCCACGGCTGAATAGTTAACATTGACCATGACACATGGCTACCTCACAACCTGAGCACTGTTTTATTTTTTAAATAAGATTGTGAGTGCTTTCCTATTTACTGAACATATTGCTTGTGCTATAATTTTAATTGTATCTCAAAGGCCCTTCTATACACTAAAACTCAGCATCAGAGACCCAGTATTGTTAGAGGTATGGTTCCAGTCACAGGTTTGGGATTAGACCAAACTAGGCACAAATCCTGTCTCCACCACTTGGTTTTCTTGAGTAGATTCCTCAATCTCTGTGAATAACAGTTTCCTTACCTGGGAGAGAGGCTAACAATACCTGTTTCACAGGATTATTGCTGGGGTTAAGTTCTTAGTATGCCTAACATGTATCATGCTAGGGGAATGGTGGCCACTTCACCCTTTATTAAATTACTCTTTTCAGAGAAATGAGTAAAGACACTAGGTCTGTGAGTCTCACAGTCTTAGTGTGAATGTACTCAGGCCAGCCCACTTGCTTTAAGCACTCATCTGAGGGTGATTTTAGGCTCTGGAGCCCTCCTGGGAGGTATGGGCCTGAGGAGACTTCAGTATGAAGGTCCAGGTGCCCCTGGGCCACAGGTATCCCTGGCTTCCCATGAGGCAACGTGCAGAGGGCATCGAGGGCGCCCAGGTGGGTTATGGTGGCCTTTAGCCTTTTCCTCCTGTGGCCTCCTGGAAGCCCAGGGAGAGCGCATGAGCGCCACGCCCTCCCTCCCGTCCTGGCCCCGGGCACGGTACCAGCACACAGACAAGCCCTCATAAACTATTATGGGTGAGTTTATGAGACCAGGGAGGAGAGACCAGCTTAGAAGCTCCAGATAGCAGCAGTGGGCAGGGGCCAGAGGACACTTCTCACTGGGGCACCTTGGAACAGTCCTGCCCAGGGATGACCTACCCGAAAGTGGTTTCTGGGGTCCCAAGCTGGCCCTTACTTTCACACAGGAGCCCTGCCTATGTGATGGTTAGCATCCAAGCTTAGCAGACAGTTCTCCAGGTTGGGGTGGGCGAGGGAGCCTTGAAGCCTATAGAAGAACACATTCTGAATGCTGGCCAGCAGCCTCAGCAAAGCACTTTCAGATGCCAGTGGCACGTGGCTTGTGCCGGGCAGTCAGAGGTGGCCTGAGCCTCTGGTTTGGGACACTCTGAAACCTCTCCAGACTTTGAGGAACTGTTCCAGCGTGGAGCAGCAGATTTCTACCAGAGACTTCCTGCTCCCTCAGACAAAAGAGGATCATTTGGGCTGGATTCTCTGTCCAAGGAGGAGCTCTGGTGCTGCAGTGGTTAAAGCATTAGGCTGCTAACCAAGATGTTGGCAGCTCAGACCCAGGTGCTCCATGGGAGAAAGACGAGGCAGTCTGCTTCCCGAAAGATTATAGCCTTTGAAACCCTGCAGGGCAGTTCTACTTTGTCCTATAGGGCCGCTCTGAGTCAGAAGCTACTCAGTAGCAGTGGGTTTGGCTTTTTGGTGCTCCGCACAGACCTCCTTCCCAGATATCTGTGCCCCTTCCAGCAACTCCTCGGAAGGAAGGTTGGGCAATCCTACTTCCGTAGTGATACTGCCTCGGAAACCCAAGGAGGGGTCGCTATGAGTCGGGGCCGACTCGACGGCACATAACAACAACAACAACAATCCAGCAACCCCTAGCCCCTGCTTGCATATTCCCCAGGGACAGAGACCTCAGTGCCTCAAAAGCAGCCTGCCAAATCTTTGATTTGACCACCATGCATACATGACTGACCCAGGGCCCCTCCAGCCGGCCTTCCTGAGCTGAGAAGGCAGCCTCCCGAGGTGGTCAGGGAGAGGGTCCATATGGGCCTACCCTGACATCAGAGGGAGTCAGGGCGACTGGCTGTGCTGTGCCCTGGGGGAGTGTCCTGGGAGAAGGGCAGGGCTCAGCGGCCTTCTCTCCACCCCAGGTACTTCGTCAGCTTCGTGATCCAGTTCCAGTTCCACGAAGCACTCTGCCAAGCAGCTGGGCACCAGGGCCCCCTGCACAAATGTGACATCTACCAGTCCAAGGAGGCGGGGAAACGCCTGGCGTGAGTCTTCTGAATGTTTTCTGCCTCTGACCCGTGCCTTGCAGCCCTGAAAAGTGCCTGGGGTGGGAACTTCCAGCCTTGATGGACCGTCTCCAGTGTGGGGACTGTAGGCCCTCTGGGCCCAAGTCATCCCTCACCGCTCTCACCTCCAGACCTGCCCAGGCCCCTCCCAATCTCAAAGGAAAGTGTAGGCTGGGGGAGGGGCATAGAGGGTAACCGTTAGGCTGGGGCAGGAGAGGCAGTGAGCCTTCTCACCTGTCCACCTGAGTCAGTTTCCCTCCCTCTGGTGCTCCCCCAGGGACGCCATGAAGCTGGGCTTTAGTAAGCCATGGCCAGAAGCCATGAGGCTGATCACAGGGCAGCCCAACATGTCCGCCTCAGCAATGATGAACTACTTCAAGCCGCTGCTGGATTGGCTCCTCACTGAGAATGGACGGCACGGGGAGAAGCTGGGCTGGCCCCAGTACAACTGGACGCCAAACTCTGGTACCACCACCCACCCACCCTCCATCCCCAAGCCCGTACCCTTCCTCAGCTCAGACAAGTTGCAGCCTGGCCTTAGAGCAAGGACAGGGAAGCCAGGCTAGTGGCCACCAGCCCTGCCTGTCACCTGCCCACTGCCCTGCTCTTCTTGCTTCCCGCCCAGCTCGCTCAGCAGCCCCCTCCGCGGGCAGCAGCCACGTCAACTTCCTGGGCATGGAGCTGGAGCCGTACCAGGCCCGTGTGGGCCAGTGGGTTCTGCTCTTCCTGGGCGTCGCCCTGCTGGTTGCCTCCTTGGGCCTGACCCAGCGGCTCTTCAGCATCCGCCACCAAAGCCTCCACCGGCCACACCGAGGGCCCCAATTCGGCTCCGAGGTGGAGCTGAGACACTCCTGAGAGGATGACGGGGCCAGCTGAGATGGGGTGAGGGGCACTGGGACTCGGAAGCCCACCCTCCTCCTCCCACCCTGTGTCCTCAAGCCAGCCTCTGTGTTCTGGGTGCAAGTCTGTCATCCTGACCTCGAGCCACCTCTGCCCTCACCTCCAGTCTCCAGGCACAGGCCGCCTAATGCAGAGCCCCTACCCAGGCTGTCTGTGAATACAATTAAAGGTCCTGCCCTCTCTGTCTGAATCTGTCTGTCTCGGGGAGCCAGGGAGAGGGACAGGTGCTCTTCCACCGACTACCAGGAATGCTTTCCTGGGTTCTTCCTTCCTCCTCCTGCAGAGAAGATCCTGGAAGAAGCCCCCAGCACTCTGGCCCCAACATCAAGCTTGACTTCCCTCCAGCCCAGGCAGTGGCCTGGTGTTCTGCCATGGCAAGCAGCCCCTACCCACCCAGGCACCAATTCAGGAGACTCTGGGAAGCAAGTGGGAGCAGACATGTCCCTGTACTGCGAGAGCCACTCTCCTGCCCCAGGCCTGACCCCACTCAGCCTTCCTGTCCCAGCTGTCCTCATAGGTGGCCAGGTCCTCCAGAGGGAAGATCCTTCTATCCCCCAGTTGCCTAGGGGAGAGTGCCTTGGATCTGCCTGGTTCATTTTGGGTGTAGAATTGGCCCAGGGTCACTTCAGGCTCCTGCCTACCTCTCCCAATGCTAGCTGTCAAGGCCATCAGCAGGTCCAAGTTCCCTTGTATGAGTGGACAGCCTTCTTCCTGACAAAGTCACTCAGGCCCTGGTCCCCAGGGCCCCAGGGCCAGGCCCTCACCTGGGGCCGCACTGCCAGGGTGCACCCTGGGTCCCAGTTGGACAGGGCCCCACATGCTGGAGCATGGTGGTGGCCGCACCATACAGGGATACCTGTCAGGGCTGCCCCTGATGGCCTCCCAGCACACACTCCTCACCGGAAGCCTTCTCCTCAGAAAGCGGATGGAGGTTTGGGAGAGTCATTTTGAGGAGCATTTTTGTAACATTTCTCTACATGTTTATTGTAGAAAATTTGGAAGCTACAGAAACTTACACGGAAAATAAAAACCCTCAACATCAGCACCAAGAGACAGGCACCATTGACATTATGTCATATACCTTTTCAACCTTTTTTTCTATGAATACTGTAAAAGGGACCTTACTGTATTTACAGTTGTGTATCCTCTTCTCAATTAGCAGAATAGATCTATTTTCAAACATTTAAATATCAAACCTCACAACCAGTCAAATGGAAGTTGGTCACTTTTCTCCCACTGCTAGCTGGCCCCTCTGTCAGAGGTTGGCCCTTGGGCCCTAAGCCTCTTCCTAACTTTGCAGATGCTTTGACCCCAGCTAGGCCCATTCCCCCAATGGCCTTGAGTCCTCCAGCCATCACATATGTGTATGTGTCTGTCTGTCTGTGTGTTGATATATCTATCTGTGTGTGTGTCTCTGTGTCTGTGTGTGTTGCATGCAAGCTTGGTTGTGCAGGCCTGTTCCAAGTGGCAGGATGTGGAGTTGAGGTGTTTTGGATACTTAGGAGGGTGGAAATTGTTTACGATTTTATAGGACAATGGAATTTATAAACATGTCCTCTAAATCGTTCTGCCACCAGCAACATCTTTAATTATCGCCCCTCCCCAGCCTGATCTTTCAAAAGATCTCTCCCAAACAAAGCTCAATTGTTACCTTATTCCTTTTCCTGTGTTTATGAACTGTTAGGTTCCTGCTGCCCATCAATCAGAGCCATGAGCAGCATGAGGTCACCAGTGTTCAACACTGGACAGAGGGAGCTTCAGACTAAGATTCAAAGTGCGTTCAGACAGAGGAACTTCACACTGGGGTTGACCTGACCAGCCTTGTCCACTACAGAAGGAAAAAAAAACACTGCCATCAAGTCGAGTCCAACTCACAGCAACTCTGTAGGACAAAGTAGAACTGCCTCATAGGGTTTTCAAGCTGTAAATCTTTAAAGAAGGAGATTGTTACATCTTTCTCCTGCAGAGCAGCTCGTGGGTTCTAACAGCTGACCTTTTGGTTACCAGCCAAATGCTTTAACCACTGCACCACCAGGACTCCTCTCCTTATCCACTCAAAACGAAAAAATCAAATCCACTGCCATTGAGTCGATTCTGACTCATAGTGACCTGCTTTGGGTTTCCGAGGTGGTAAATCTTTATGGAAGTAGATTGCCTTATCTTCATTCCATGGAGAGGCTGGTGGGTTTGAACTGCCAACCTTCTGGTTAGCAGTCACATGCCTTAAGCACTGCGCCACCTTATCTACTAGACCTCTTAAAATGTTAGAATTGTTCAAAGACTCCTGTTTTTGCCTTCTTGGATGAGAGCAAAAGAGGCTGGGTCTACCTGGAAGGTGACTGAGGAAGAGGAGGTAATGACAGAGGAAGAGGAGGTCAACTGGCATTTTCTAAGGGTGGCCTTGAGGTCTGAGCACTTCCTCAGGCTGCACCTGCTGACCGCTCCTCAGTGACCAGCTCTTACATACGTGGGTCAAAGGTTGTTTGGGTTGCTGGACTGCTGCTCCAAACGCCCTGCCCTCCTCCACACTCCACCCCCACCCTGGCTCTGACACGAGTGAGTCAAGTGGCTATGAGTTGGGCCTGAGTCAAATCCCACCTCTGCACTTACTACTTCTGTGCCTTGACCAATTTAATTTTCCAAGCCTCCATTTTCACAACTATAAAATAGTTCTTACAAACCTCTCTCATGATTGCTGTGAAGACTCAACGTAGAGATCCCTAGTACGTTAGTTTTTTCTGTTTATAATGAATGCATCATCTCCTGATGGAGATTGTATCATATCTGCCCCAAATCAAACATTCCCCAGTCACAGAATTCGACAGCTGGAGGACCAAGCCAAGACTAGCCCCCTCATACCACTGATGGAGAGAAAGGTCCAGAGCAGTTCAGCGACAGAGCTGGATGGAAAACTCCAATCTCCCGACTTGCCTTCCAGCAGCTTTCCCAGGATGCTTCCCTGCTCCGATGATTGTTTTCTTACTGGGAGCACAGGGAGCTTGCTCACATGCGTCTCCTGTTCTGAAAACACTCAGCTGTCCATCAACTCTGAATGTTGCCTTCCCCACCCTCTCCAGTCTTCATTTCTGGGACCCCTATTACACCTGCTTGGAGCTTTCTGTTTTGTCCTCCATGTCTCCTAATTCTTATTTTTTTTTTTTTTTTTTTCTTTCCTTATGTTTTAATACCAAACTAGGGCTCCAGGACCAATGATCACCAGCCACCCAAAGAACAAAAATGCTTCCGAAATCTCTTGATGTCGATTCCACACATAGAGCAATAGAGACGCCCTACACAAGCCACTTCACAACAGAAGCCCTTTTTTCCGTATCTCCTAATTCTTGCTCGGATTCCTCGCTCTTTCTCTAGCCTCTGTGCTGGGTGATTGCCCCAGCTGTGTCTCCACAGGGCCCAATTCTTCTGTTTCCCAGCCGGCTGCTTAACCTGTCTACTGACAGTTTTGTTGGTCTAATTTAATTACTATTTTTTTCACTTGTTGCATCTCTGCCTCTTTTTCAGACTTCCTGTGCTTTCATAAGAGCCTATTCTTGCCTTGTAGACTCCTTTCCTTTCCTTATCACCTGAAGGACCTGCATTTATGTTCCTTTCTGATTACTCTGAGATCTGTCCTCCTCGGGTGTTCTGCCACCATTCATGTGTCTTTAGCATGGACTCTGGAACCAAGTCTTGTGGATTTGAGTCCCATCTTCACTCTTTGCTCCATTTCCTCATCTGGGAGATGAAGATGTTGATCAGAGTACCTACTTCCTGGTTTTCTTATGAATGTACTTATGTTAAAGCCCAGTGGGAGACTGGTTGTCATTACAATCCCTTTCTCTTGTACTTGTTAAGGTTGATCTATGAGCCATCTTCAGTGGGAAAAGCCTTCTGCAGGGTCCCATACATGGACCAGGTTGCAAAGATGTCCCCAGGATCAATTTCACAGTTGCCTCTTGTAGAGTACTCTTTTTTTAATCTTTTTTTTATTATTATTTTATTTGGATTTGGGTGAAGATTTACAGAGTAAATTCACTTTTCATACAGCAGTTCACATATACTTCGTCTCATGTCATTGACCAAAATTTACAATGCAACAGCTCCCCTTCTTGCAGAGTACTCTTGAGAGAGGAAGCTGTTTCCTAGCTCGCAGCTTTATGGAGGTGTCACTTCCAACCATGGTCACCTATCCCTATGCAGGCACCACCACTGTAGCCCTTTGGGCATGGATATACCTGAACCCTCCAGATGGGCCACAGAACTTAAACCCCCCACTCTTTATTTCTAGTACCTGGAGAGTCCTCTTGTTTTCCAGTTCAGTTCTATATTTTGCCTTTTTTAAAATAATACAGTTTATCATACATGTCTATGCATTTGAAGCAGGAGAAGGGAATTCTCTGTAAACACCATTGATCAACTTAACAAGAAGCGTCACAGATTTTTTTCCTTGTGTTTTAAGTGTATTTTGACCATAACAGATCATATTTTGAGGGTTGCTTGGTCAGTTTCTCTGGTCATGGTGTTCACTCATGCAGAGGGGTGGAAACTGTGTGAAGATATGGGTAGAACTGACCCGAGGAAGGTGAGTCAAGGGGTCACAGAGTGGAGGGAGTCTTGGTGTGGAAGAGGTATGCCTGCGGAAGGTATTCCTAAGGAAGGACAAAGGGAACTGGAGTCTCCCAGACTGTGTGTGTCAGATTACTGGCAAGTCACCAAAAGCCAGCAGAAAGCTGGGGTCCTGCCAGCTGATACTCAAACCAGGCTCAGGTTTCGAATGGAAGGTTCCAGCCAAACCCACACCTGGGCCCAGCTGAGCACAGCTCTGCATACCCCATGCAGCCCTCTCTCTATCTGTGTGACTCCTCCTGACTGCAAACCGGTAGGATCAGGATCTCTCTGGAGAAGTAGGTGTAAGGGTGAGGGGAAGGGAGGAAGGGCATGATCACATGCGTGAGAGAGAAAAAGGCCAAAAATGTGAACATAGGAGATTAAGTCAGAAGAATATTGTGAGACAACTGTGTTTTCAGAGTCCAGAGACCCAGTAATATCACTTCCATCCATCCATCCATCCCTCCCTCCCTCCCTCCATCCATCCATCCCACCCACTCAGAAGTGATCCTAGCCTGTTGATGGAGGAGTTTCATCATTCCTTGACTGAGCATGTTTCCAGTCCCTGGGAGAAGTAACCAAGTGGAGTGGAACAAGCTCTGGACTAAAAGTCAAGAGCCTGTATTCTCTTGGCTCTGCCATTAACTAGCTGTGTGAACCAGGACATATGGATTGACAATTCTGGACCTCAGTCTCCTCACCTGCAAAATAGGGACAACTGGCTCAGAAGGTGGGCGGAGGCTTCCCTGTTCTGGCATTCTATGGCTAGTTCCTTGGCCCCTGATGTCACAATATGGAGTCAGATCCTGATTAGACAATAGGCTCCCCCAGCTCCGCTGTTCTCTTAGTCATGGGCAGAAGATGGACTCACCCTGGACCTTCCCTACTTGTGTTCCTCTGTTACGGACAGCTTTTGTCATGGCTCAGGACCAAGGATGCTCATGGCTCAGGTGGGGCTGGGGCCCAAAGGAGCATAGGCCCAGACAAGGGGACTAGCCAGGGCAGGTCCTGCCCAGGACAGCATGATGCCCATCTTGTCCCCACAGATACGTTCTATAATGAAAGCGAAGCAAAGGCATTCCTGCAGAGTTATGAGCAGACAACCCAGGTTGTGTGGAACAAGTTCATGGAAGCCACCTGGAACTACGTCACCAACATCACCAAGAAAAATCGAGAGGAGATGGTGTGATACTGCTTCCACGCTAGCCCCTCCTCCCCTTGATCTTCTCAGTGGTCTTGGGAGAGGTGGAAGACCACAACTTCTGCCCCTTATCCAGAGATAGAGGCTAGAGGAAAGCCCCAAAGGACATGTCAAAGCAGGCTGCAAGCTCCAGGCTTCTTAGTGGCCCCTAAACCCCTCTGGGGCAAGGATCTCTTGGTTCTTTCTCCTTATAACTCTCACCACCTTGCTTTTGGGACCCAGGCTACTTCCCTTCTCCCTCCCTGTAAACCTTCAGTGCTTCTGACCCCTTAAAGTGGGCTTGGGAGTGGACTGGGGTGGGTGGCCCTGGAGTTCAGAGTGGGGCCCTTATCCCCTCCAAGCCCTCATGTCAAATATGGTGACCCTTCTTCCCAGCTACACAAGGACATGGAAAGGTCTCAGCACATTCTGTACTTTGGCACTCAGGCCCACCAGTTTAACATCACCACATTCCGAGACCCAGTCATAAAGCGCATGCTGAAAAAGGTGCAGGACATGGACAAGGCAGCCCTGCCTGAGGAAGAGCTCCGGGAGGTGATGGACAGAATCCCCAGGCCTCCAGGCACATGTATCCCTCCCCGGGGGTAGATGGGACAGGCTGGGTCCAAAGCAGGAGGGAGGTGGGAGGGGCAAGGCCAGAGCATCCTCTGAGGGAGGAGGGAAGCAGAAGCTAAGGAAGGTGGGGCTAGTGCTGGGGATGGACCCAAGGGAGCACGCCTGCCCTGGGTGACACCTGCTTCCTTAGTACAACAAGCTCCTGGCCTCCATGGAGATGATGTACAGTATGGCGGAGGTGTGCATGGAAGAGGGGCCCTGCCTGTACCTGGAGCCTGGTGAGTGACCTGGGCCCTGCCCCTGCCCCTGCCCAATGGCAGTCCCTTCCATGACCCCTATTCTCCTTCCTCCCTTGCTGGGGTGGGGAGGTCTTTGTGAGTGAAGGCACAAGACAAGGGGTAGCAGGAGTCTCACCTTAACTTCTTTCCTGGGCACAGACCTCCAAGAAGTGATGGCCACCTCCCGGGACCAGAAAGAGCTGCTATGGGCATGGCAGGGCTGGCGGGATGCTGTAGGCCGCCCACTCCGTCTCATGTTTGAGCGCTATGTGGAACTCAGCAACAAGGCTGCAATGCTCAACGGTGAGGCCTTGCCTGAACAGATGAGACAGTCCACAGGTCCCAGTGCAATACCCAGAGGAGGGGACAAGCTGAGTCTGCAGGTCAGGCAGGGGATAATAGAACCCTTGCAATGGGATCCATGAGCCCTACAGATGGGCAGGACAAAGGCAGTTAATTCATTGTGTCATTGTACAAATAGTGATGGAGCCCCTGCTAGCTATTGGCACTGGAGAGGGTCTGAGAAAGGCAGGTGAGAAGACAGATGAGGCACCTGTCCTCAGAGGGCTGACAGTCCTGTGGGGGAGACAGACACTCTGCAAGTAAACACCCATATGGAATCACCATTTGAGCTGGGTGCCAAGAAGGGGCTGCTGAGGGAGGGCATAAGGAGAGACCTGCTTCGCATAAATGGTCAGCATAGGCCCTTGGGACATTCACCCAGTGTGAAGGTGGATAAGAGCCAGGCAAAGAAGAAGAAAAAGTGAACCCCAGGGAGAACCTGTGCTCGGGGAGGAAGCCAGGGTTTTGCAGGACCTGAAGGAAGCCAGGGTGACTGGAGGGTTATGGATGGTATAGGACTCGGGGAGAGATCGCAGGGCTCAGCGGGCATGGTGAAAAGCCAGGCATATGGACTTTGCTCAGGGGTTCTCTATCCCTGATCAGATCTAACATGATCCACAGCCCTGGGAGATATTATCCCCATTTTACAGGTGAAGATGCTGCAGATCAGGGAAGTGAAGTGCTTTCCTAGAGGGCGCCTACATCTGTTGCCTGCTAGGCCTGAAGGCTGGGGTGGTGAACGTCTTGTTCACTTCCCTCTCCCATCCTAGGTTACAAAGACATGGGGGCCTTGTGGCGTACAATGTACGACTCTGAGGATAAGAACAGCACACTGGAACATGACCTGGAGCAGCTCTTCCAGGAGCTTCGGCCACTCTACCTGAACCTGCACGCCTACGTGCGCCACGCCCTGTACCGCCACTACGGGCCCGAGCGCATCAACCTGAAGGGGCCCATCCCTGCCCACCTCCTGGGTAAAGGCTGGCTGGTCTAGGATGGGGGCAGAGACTAGGGCAGGTCTCCAAGTAAATACTCAATAGCAGTAAGAGGAGAGACCTCTCTCACCACCCCTTAGCCCCTCCACTCTCCTCTCAGGAAACATGTGGGCTCAGTCTTGGGTCAACATCTTAGACCTGGTCTTGCCCTTCCCTGAGAAACCCCTGGAGGACAGCACGAAGATCATGAAAAGCCAGGTCAGTGCTGGGCTTCGACTGTCCCCACCCCTCCACACCCCTGAGCAAGGCCCCATGCACCCCCTCTTCCCACAGCGCTGGAAGCCCAACAAAATGTTCCAAGAGGCTGACAAATTCTTTACCTCCCTTGGGCTACTGCCTGCCCCTCCTGAGTTCTGGAGCAAGTCGATGCTGGAGAAGCCAGTTGATGGGCGAGAGGTGGTGTGTCATACCTCTGCTTGGGACTTCTACAATGGCCAAGACTTCAGGTGCTCAGCACCCACCCACCAGCACCACTCTCCCGTCCCCTTCCCTGCTGCTCCTCTGCTCCTTCCACTCTCCATCTATCTAGCTGTCCTAGAGGGTGTGAGCACAGGGGTGGACACAGGGAGAGATGGGGTGTGAGGAGGTGGGATGCGAGTGGGAACAGAGAGGGACAGGCGGATGGAAGGGCCAGGACAAAGTCTCAGTCACTGTTTGGATAAGGGGGTCTGTGGTAAACAAGGCTTTCTGGTCTCCAGCCCAACCACCCAATCCCTTAGCAGAGTCTGAATGGAGAAATGTCCCATTACCCTCAGGGCATCTCCATACTCCTTGACCCTCGCCCTTTAACCCTAGGATAAAGAAGTGCACGGAGGTGACCATGGAAGACCTGATCTCCGTCTTCCACCACATGGGCCATATCCAGTACTTCCTGCAGTACAAGAACCTCTCCGTGATCTTCCGAGAAGGTGCCAACCCAGCCTTTGAAGAGGCTGTGGGGTCAGCAGTCACACTCTCGGCCTCCTCCCACAAGCACCTGCTCAACATCGGTCTACTTAGCTCCCAGTTCCAGGACTCAGGTGAGGAGGGTGGGAGCACTAGGGAAGGCAGCCTGGCATTGGGGCTGGAACTAGGGTGGTGTGGGACTAGAGCTCTCCAGGCAAGATGGAGGGGATTGGGTACCTGACTGCCCCTGCCCCACCTGCAGAGGATGAGGTCAATTTCCTGATGGGCATTGCCCTGGAGAAGATTGCTTTCATCCCCTTTGGCTACCTTGTGGACCTGTACCGCTGGAAGGTCTTTGATGGCACCATCCATAAGCACATCTACAACCAGGAGTGGTGGAGCCTCAGGTAGGCCCCTGGCACTGCATCCTTGGGCCTCTGGTCTTCTCTTGAGGTGGACAGTGCTTTCAGGTCAGCCCCCAGGGAACCACCCACTGCCATTGATTACTTGTTGGTCTCTCCTCGGAGAGCAGGGCTGGATGTGCAAGGCTGGGGGCCTGGAGGCCACTACTGGCTGTTGGCTGTCGCCAGACAAAGGTCTGCATTCTGAGTGGATGAGGAGTAGAGGAGTGGCACATGAGGCCTCATTCTGAATCTGGTACCAGCGCTGAGCAGGCCTCTTAATCATCTCGAAGCCACATTTCCCTCATCTGTAAAAAAGAGATCCTGGTGGAGTTCCTGCTGCTCTCTGAGTTGCTGGAAGCTCACGTAGTGATCACAACGGGCTTCTCCAAGAACAAAACACTGACCACCAGGCAGACCTCCCTCTCTATACCCACAAAGGGAGTGGGGGCCAGGAGAAGAGATGTTTGCAGTCTGGGCTCTTTCCCTCCTGTGGAAAGAGACCCCCTGGGAGAGAGGCAGGCTCACTGCCCTCTGCCTGCTGCCTTCCACACACACACCTGCCACAGCTTAGCCGCCCCAGGCACCTCCCACATCAGAACCGGCTGCCAAAGGAAGCCCCTTGCTCTGCAGCACCATTCTCAAGTGAGAAGCAGCTGCATCACCTCCCATCCCTACTCTCTGCTTCCCAATGTTCCCCTCAGCTCACCAGATGCTCAGTACCACCTAGGCAATGGCTTCCTCTTTCTCCCTCTCACCCATCCGGCTGTGATAACCACTCATAAACTTTGGTCTCAATGCATTCACCTATTCTAGATACTGCCTGTGAGTAGGATCATCCAAAAAAACCCAAACTCCCTGCCATGGAGTCAGATTCAGCCCATAGTGACCCTTCCTTGGGTCTCTGAGGCAG